CAACTGTGAATCGTTGCTAACCTTCAATCTTTTTACATGTATCTCCTTCAATAGCCTGAGGCCTTCTAGTAATACTCAAATTCTACTACACTGTTGGAAGCCTTGAATCCAAGATTATTGCACAACTGAGCTTGTGCCCCTTTGGGCTTACTAGAATTACCTCTACACTCGATCCTACTTCACTAGAAGATCCATTGACAAACAAGCTCTAAATGGTGGATCAAGTGGTTCTATTGTCATGTTGATAACCTGGGCCTCTATAAATTTCGCTTAGAAATCTCGCAATGCTGGTCCCTTTATCAAAGTCTTTAGTTTGTACGAAATGTTAAACTCGCTTTGTAACGTCCCAAACTTTTTTTTCATTATTATTGTTATTTTTAAATAAAAATGAGCTCGGGGTGCTACTAAAACTTTTTTTTTAATCTAATTTAAGCAGAAATATAACTTTTTATTTTAGTGATCAAAATGTGGTCAACAATTCAATAATGAAAAAATAATGATTTTAAAATAAAATCTTGAAATATCCCATCTCAAACTGTGAATTAAAATTCAACATAAAGTGTCGAATGCTCGTACTCTAAGAAAAATATTAAATACCATGCATAAAAATTAAAATAATAATATTCTTTTAAATATAATTTGACGATTATTTTTCTAGAAACTTTATTTGATTACCCCATAAGTATCGCCGGTCAATCTTCCACTCGTCTACACGATCCATACTAATCTAAAAAGTATTGTAAGAGTGAGTATTTTGAAAACACTCAGTAAAAATACGTGCATATTCTTATAACATGATATAAACATAATATGGCATAACAGACCGACATGTCTTACATTTAGAGCAAACTGGTCACGATTCCAACAGCTCAAGGAATTTCTTAAGAATCCTCATATCCCGTAGGATCTAATCATATTGACCCAAAGGTCCATCCCGTAGGATTTAACTTCTTTTCTTTGACCTGACGGTCCATCCCGAAAGATTTAACATATAATTCGACCTGAAGGCCTTATAGTATTTCATGCCAAATTTACATAAATATCAAGGATAAGAATTTATCACTTACACCATATATTCTTACCCCAGAAGAAATTTCTGAAATATAGCTTTGCAAAATAAATGATACTCCTTTTTCAGAATACGTGTGTCAGTGTGTGTAAACGTGAGAGTAGTAGTTTCTGTGCGGTAAAATGAGAATTTTTTCTTTCATATGATATATAAAGGTAACCACTTGTATTCTTATCTATTACTGAAACATCAAAAGTCAAGTTTGAATATTCAACTTGTAAGTAAATATAATATTTATTTCCATCAACCATGTCTCATCACTTTGACGGTTGGTCGTTAAATTCAAAACAAAATTTATTAATTATTCATTATCTAAATTAAAAGAATGATTTATGTTTAATGTATATATATTAAATTATAAAACCACTTCAAATTCCCAAGTGCATGTACTGAAGTGAGAATATTTAGGTTTAGTTAAACATACACGTTTCCCTCACAACCATATATCACATATTTCTAGAAAAATCATTATATATATATATTGAAATATAACACTTTTCCTTTTACTGGAATTTAAGTTTAAAATCAATTTTTCTTGAGTCCAAATTATTCTATTTAGTACTAGCTACATAACAAGTATAATATTGATATATTTTATAAATTTTCTATAATCTTTAAATAATCCACCCTAGATAAAAGTTACGATAAATTTATGTAACTAAGTCAATAAATCGTTTTTTTGCAACTAGATGGGTTAACTTATATATTAACCTTTAGACCTTAATGTGACAACAATACTAGACATGGGCTATCTCATTCATAAAACGATCAATATTGATTTTTCTCCATATGAAAATATAATTAAAAGTCGGGGCGTCACATCCTTTCCCCCAAAAAATAATTTCGTCCTCGAAATTACCTTATTTAGCCGAAAAGTCCAGGATACTTGGCTTTTATTTCTTCTTCTTTCTGCTAAGTGGCCTCCTCGACTCCGTGATTTTTCCATCGAACCTTTACTAATGCGACTTCTTTATTTCTTAATGCTTGTACTTTCCTTTCGATAATTTCCAAAGGGGCCTCTTTGTATGTTAAATCCGTCTGCACTTCCAAAGATTCATAGCTTATCACATGCTTGGTATTGTGCACATATTTTCTAAGCATTGATACGTGGAATATATTATGCACTGCCGATAGTCTGGGTGACGATGCTAGACGGTATGCTACATTTCCAATTCTGTCTAGAATTTCAAAAGGACCTATAAGTCGAGGTCTCAACTTTCCCTTCTTGCCAAATCTAAGAACTCCTTTTATTGGTGCCACTTTTAGAAAGACTTTCTCACCGACTTCAAATTCTATTGACTTCCTTCGTTGGTTCGCATAACTTTTCTGTCTATCTTGAGCAGACTTTATTCTATTTCTAATTTTGTCAATTGCTTGCACTGTCTTTGAAAAAATTTCTAGGCCCAAGATTCGTTTTTCTCCAACTTCATCCCAATGAACTGGTGATCTACATCTTCTACTATAGAGGGCTTCATAAGGAGCCATGTCGATAGTAGCTTGGAAACTGTTATTATATGTAAACTCTACTAATGATAGATGAGAATCCCAACTACCTCCCAAATCTAAGACACATGCTCGGAGCATATCTTCTAAAACTTGAATTGTCCTTTCCTATTGTCCATCATATTGGGGGTGATATGCAATGCTGAAATTTAACTTTGTCCCCATGGCTCTTTACATGCTTTTCCAAAATTTAGAAGTAAACCTTGGATCTCGATCTCAGACGATGGAGGCTGGAATTCCATGCAACCTAACAATTTCCTTAACATATAACTAAGCAAATTGATCCATACTGTATTTCATTCTTACTGGAAGAAAATGAGCTGATTTTGTCAACCGATCCACAATTACCTAGATGGCATCGTGTCCTTTCGTTGACTTTGGAAGACCAACGACAAAATCCATGGCTATCTGTTCCCATTTCCACTCTGAAATTTCTAATGGGTTCAATGGTCCTGATGGTTTTTGATGTTCTACTTTAACTTACTGACACACAATACACTTCTCAACAAAGAGACCAATCCTCATTTTCATATTCCTCCACCAGAATACATCGCGAAGGTCCCGATACATTTTGGTGCCGCCGGGATGTGCAGCATACGGGGCATAGTGTGCTTCCTCTAATATTTCTTTTCTTATCCCTTCATCTTCTGGTACACATAACCTTCCTTCAAACATCAAAGCATTGTCTTCTGCTATTGCAAAGCCTTTTCTTTTACTCTTACCAACTTTCGATTTGATTTTTCTCAAAAAGGGATCGTTGTCTTGAGCATCCTTCATTTGATTCCTAAGAGTGGATTGAATCTTTAATGCTGCAATCTTTGTAGTAATCTGAGCTGGCGGAATGATAACCTCCAACTTCAATTTATCAAACTCCTTTATCAACTGCAGCTGAGCTGTGGGTAAAACTGCTAATTGTCCCACTGTCTTCCTACTAAGACCATCCGCGACTACATTAGCTTTACCCGGATGGTAATAGACAGTGCAATCATAATCTTTAACTAACTCCAACCACCTTCGCTGCCTCATATTCAAATCCTTTTGAGTGAAGAAGTATTTTAAACTTTTATGATCCGTATAAATATCGCACCTTCCCCCGTAAAGATAGTGACACCATATTTTTAGGGCATGTACTACCGTCGCCAATTCTAGATTATGTGTAGGGTAATTTTGCTCATATTGTTTCAGTTGTCTTGAGGCATATGCGATCACCTTTCCATGCTGCATCAGTACACATCCCAATCCCTGTTTGGATACATCGCTGTATATAACGAACCCATCTGAACCCTCTGGTATAGTTAAAACGGGAGCTGTAACCAATTTCTGTTTCAGTTCTTGGAAGCTCTCCTCACACTTCTCAGTCCATTGAAATTTTACATCCTTTCTAGTTAGTTGGGTCATTGGCTCGACTATTTTAGAAAATCCTTCGATGAATCTTCGATAATAACTGGCTAGTCCCAAGAAACTACGAACTTCACCTACATTTGTTGGTCTAGGCCAGTTGGCTACTGCTTCAATTTTTCTAAGATCTACTTCTATCCCTGGTGCTGTAACCACATGATCAAGGAAAACTATATGTTCAAGCCAAAATTCACATTTCTTGAATTTGGCATACAATTTCTCCCTCCGTAGTGTCTCCAACACTATCTTGAGTTGTTCTTCATGTTGTTCCTTATTCCTTGAATATACCAAAATGTCATCCATGAATACAATGACAATTTGATCTAAATACTAATGGAATACTCTATTCATCAAATCCATAAATATTGTAGGAGCATTTGTTAATCCAAATGGCATTACGGTGAACTCGTAATGATCATAGCGAGTTCTAAATGCCGTCTTTAAAATGTCATTTGCCTTCACCTTCAACTGATGATAACCTGACCTCAAATCAATCTTGGAAAATACTGTTTCGTCTCTTAACTGATTAAAGAGGTCTTCAATCCGAGGAAGGGGGTATTTGTTCTTGATCGTCAATCGGTTCAATTCCCTAATCGTTCCATCGTTTTTCTTTACAAACAAAATCGGTGCACCCCAAGGAGATGTACTTAGTCGGATGTAACATTTATCCAACAATTTCTGTAACTGTATCTTTAATTCTTGAAGTTCTTTTGGCGTCATCCTATATGGAGCTTTAGATAATGGAGATGCTCCAGATACGAGGTTAATTGTAAACTCCAATTGCCTATCAGGTGGTACGCCAGGTAAGTGATCAAGGAATACATCAATGAAATCTCGTACAATCGACACATTACCAATAGTAAGTTTCGAATGTTGAGTTCCATGTATACTCACCAGAAATCCCTGGCAAGATCTTTTCTTTAACATCTTTTCTGCCTTCATGATTGATACGAGTCGAGGTAAAGATTTAACTTGTACAACACAAAATCGAAACTCTTCCTTCCCAGGCTTTTGAAAAATTACTTTTTTTTCAAAACATCGAATGGTTGCTTTCCAACCAATCCATTCCTAGAATGACGTCGAAGTCTTTTATGTCTAGGAGGTATAGATCAACCTTTAATTCTTTTCCGTTCATTTCTAACTTCACTGCCCTACCGATCTGATTAGTGTTCATAATTCTACCGGATGGGATGAAAATTTCTAGAACACTATCGATTTTCTCATATGCAGCACATGATTTAGCAATAAAAGTGGTAGAAACAAATGAGCGAGTAGCTCCTGAGTCTATAAAAACATATGCAGGTAGTTCAGATATTAATAGAATGCCTACCATTACATTCGAATCATCCTTTGCTTCTTCCCGAGTTAAAGCAAAAACTTTGGCTCTCACTTTCTTCCCTTGCTCAAGATCTTTTTTACGTGGGTATGCCTTGCAATCTGGGGCAAAATTTCCTTCTTGGCCACATCGATAGCACACATTTTTCCCAAATAAGCACTCTCCGCTATGCACCTTGTTGCATTTAGGGCATTGAGGAATAATTTTATTTGGTTTTCTGGATCCTGATCCTGTATTGGCTTTTTTAAATTGTCCAAATCCATTCTCTTTATTTGGTCCATTCCACTTTTGTTTACCATAAAATTCATTACTTTTCTCAGTCATCCGATCCATTTCTAAACGATCAGAAATTGATTGAGCTCACTGAAGCACTTCACTATAGGTAGTTGTACGGTGAGATGCCATGATTCCTCTAATTTCTAGACGTAGCCCTAGTTCGAACCTCCTAGCTTTCTTTGGTTCGGTATCCACAAGGTGTGTGTGGCATACCTAGAAAGTTGTTCAAAATTTCTTTCATATTCATCAAGCGACATATTTTCTTGTTTCAGTTGTAGGAACTCCGCCTTTCTCCAATTCCTCAGTGATTGGGGAAAATATTTTTTCATTACTTCTTCTTTGAACTGTGCCCAAGTCATAGCACATTGTTGTTATTCTGTTCTAGTGCGCGAAGCAGATTTGCACCAGTGGCCTGCTGCTTCAACCAGCATAAATTCGGCACATGATACCTTCTGTGCATCAGTACATGCCATGTGTTTGTAGATTCGTTCCAGCCCTCTTAACCACTCTTCAGCTGCCAAAGGGTCTGCCTTGCCATCAAAAGAAGGAGGTTTGAATCGACGGAACTGGTCCACAATTGATCCTGTGTTGTTGGCATTGATCGGTCCATTCTGAGGTGGTGCTGGTGCTTGATTACTACCAAGGTCGTGCACCACCCTCATTAGGTCCCTGAACATAGCTACTTGGTCTTGTTGTTCTTCAATTTCCTTTAAATCAACAAAATAAATGTTGTCTTAAAAAGGTTGGACAACAAAGTAGCTCAATACGTTCACACGAAACTAACTATTTTTATTAATAATACTCCTTGAAAATAGGATATTTAATAGTTCGACAATTTTTTTTTTTTAATTTCCAGTAACGTAAAGGAAGAAATATCATAGTACAAGGAAATAGAATCTAAGTTTTCTAATCCCTATGAATCCTACGAATCTTCATTGGTTAAGCTTCATCTTCAGAGGAGTCTTCTACCTCAGGATTGGACTCTATATCCATCTTAACAGTGGCTCAGGTTCATGATCATTCTCCAACTCCAACTCAATGTCATCCTCATGCTCCCATTCAGGATCTTCCTCTCGATCCGATTCAAACTGAGGTTTTGGCACTACCTCGAGCTCAAACTCAGGCTCGACCTCATCATCATACTCATTTGTCACCTCAGGTTGGGGTTCTAAGCTCTCACTCCACCTATCTGGAAGTGTCTGACAATATATGTAGAAGTCAATCGTGTTTTGGTGCTCTGGAGGGTTACCTTCTAGCATCTCATCTCTAACTATAATTCCCATATTTCCCCCATTGAGGTGAAAGTGAATGTATGAGGTTATTTACAACCTCGATATGTGTGATTTCCAGTCCTACATCCACAGCTATCATACATCTTTCATGGACTTCGTGGACGTGTTCGACAAGGGAATGAGTTGGGTTGGTCACGAAATTCTCATAGGAATGAATGATGGACCTACGATTCAATGCTGCTCTATAAGCCATGACCTTTCTAGCGGTTTGATTAGTTCTAGCCATGTCTGTTAAATAAATGTCCAATTATACGTCATCTTTGTTAGTCAAGTTATACATTATGCTCTTCTGCTTGGAATGAAATGACTAATCATCATACTTCATATACGCTAAGCAAAATAACAACTTACATAGCATATTTCATTCTAAACGTCATGAGCATTTCTTGAAATCAAGCTTAAATAATTCATAAATCATGCTTGACAGTAGGATTAAACATAATATTTCGTTCATACCTTGGGTTCGTCAGACGGTAGCTGATTGACGAGTGTTAAATGCTATGGGTCTTATTTTAAATACTCGTTTAGTGAAAATCTCATACAGAAGTAAAAATATATAAACAAGTAGACATGTACTCACCATAAGTAGAAATCATTTTCTTAACAAGTTATATTGAAACCATTAGAGTAAAATTATTTCATCTACTTTAGAATTTAATTACCCTTTTTTTTACCAGAAAACTATAATGATTAAACAATGATCACATATTTTATCAACTTCCTAAATCTGAAGTGGAAGAAAAATCAAAATTCTATGTCTATCTAATTCGAGATTTAGAAGCAATATTAATCAATCTAAATTTTTTTGCAACACAAAGATCCAAGTATCACCAGGGGTAATTTCTAAGCACTTTATTTGAAAAGTTGATAAGGCATTAGAGTCCAAACTTCAAACCAGTTTCCCTAGGTCCAATTAAAACACAAGACAATCCAAATGGAAAAAGTCCAACCAATTTGGATACATGACAAATTGCAAAAACACAATTTTCATCTCTTGCACAACTGCAATAACAAACTTATGTTCACTTCTCTTCAGCAAATTTTAGGGTAGTTAACATAGTTTACAGATGCAAGTAAAATGCAGCTATGATTATTAAAAATTTCGACATTTGAAGCTGCTAATCCAGTAAATCAGATTTTTTTTTCTTTTTCTCAACTAACGAAAGTGAGGTGTTAAGCAAGAAAAACAACAAAACAACTATGTTATATAATAAAATAATTTCATAAACACATAACCAATAAAGCAAGGAACATATTGCCAGACAGAATTGAGCTCTGGATAAAAGTATGAAGCAATTTCCCACACATCCTTTATAATAAGAAGCTTATAAATTGTACTAAGGAAAGCATTTTCCATGGCATAACAGAAAAATATTTTTTTTTTCATTTAAAGTTTCCTATTTGTACTTAAAATTATATATATATATATATATATAAATTTTTTTTTTTAAAACAACAAGTCTACAAAACCGACTAAACTCGTGCTCTGATACCATTTTGTAACATCCCGAACTCTTTTTTCATTATTATTGTTATTTTTAAATAAAAATAGCTCGAGGTGCTACCAAAACCTTTTTTTTTTTTTTTTTCTAATTTAAGCGGAAATATAACTTTTTATTTTAGTGATCAAAATGTTCAATAACGACAAAATAATGATTTAAAATAAAATCTTGAAATATCCCATCTCAAACTATAAATTAAAATTCAACATAAAGTGTCGAATGCTCGTACTCTAATAAAAATATTAAATACCATGCATAAAAATTAAAATAATGATATTCTTTTAAATGAAATTTGACGATTATTTTTCTAGAAACTTTATTTGATGACCTCATGAGCATTGCCGGTCAATCTTCTACTCGTCCACATGACCCGTACTAATTTAAAAAGTATTGTAAGAGTGAGTATTTTGAAAACACTCAGTAAAAATACGTGCATATTCTTATAACATAATATAAACATAATATGGCATAACATACCGACATGTCTTAAATTTAGAGCAAACTGGTCGCGATTCCAACAGCTTAATGAATTTTTTAAGAATCCCTATATCCCGTAGGATTTAATCATATTGACCCAAAGGTCCATCCCGTAGGATTTAACTTCTTTTCTTTGACATGACGGTCCATTCCGAATGATTTAACATATAATTCGACTCGAAGGCCTTATAGTATTTCATGTCAAGTTTACATAAATATCAAGGATAAGAATTTATCACTTGCACCATGTATTATTACCTCTAAAGAAATTCCTGAAATATGGCTTTACAAAATAAAATAATACTCCTTTTTCAGAATACATGTGTTAGTGTGTGTAAACATGAGAGTAGTAGTTTCTATGCGGTAAAATGAGAATTTTTTCTTTCATATGATATATAAAGGTAATCACTTGTATTCTTATCTATCACTGAAACGTCAAAAGTCAAGTTTGAATATTCAACTTGTAAGTTAATATAATATTTATTTCCATCAGCCACGTCTCATCACTCTGACAGTTGGTCGTCAAATTCAAAACAAAATTTATTAATTATTCATTATCTAAATTAAATGAATGATTTATGTTTAATGTATATATATTAAATTATAAAACCATTTCAAATTTCAAAGTGCATGTACTGAAGTAGGGATATTTAGGTTTAGTTAAACATACACGTTTCCCTCACAATCATATATCAAATATTTCTAGAAAAATCATTATATATGTATTGAAATATAACACTTTTCTTTTTACTGGAATTAATCAGATATACCTAGTTTAAAATCAATTTTTCTTGAGCCCAATTTATTCTATTTAGTACCAACTACATAACAAGTATAATATTGATATATTTTATAAATTTTCTATAATCTTTAAATAATCGACTCTAGATAAAAGTTATGATAAATTTGTATAACTAAGACAATAAATCGTTTTTTTTTTTTTGCAACTAGATGGGTTAACTTATCATATTAACCTTTAGACTTTAATGTGACAACATTGCTAGACATGGGCTATCTCATTCATAAAACAATCAATATTAATTTTTCTCCATATGAAAATATAATTAAAAGTTGGGGCGTCACACGCTTAATTCCACAGCCTGTATCATTAGCGAGTTCTACTTCATTCGATACTTCCTCAAAAAAAAACCTTGAAGGCTCTTTCCAGGTGCTCAAAGTAGACTAGATACATAAGATATGGAAAGCTTGCCATAAGCTCAATATCGATCCTTTAACTCGATTTAAATAGCAATGACGAAGACCACTTAGATTTGAAAGGTACAAAGCCTTACATTGAGAGGTAGAGGAAAAAAAAAAAAAAAAAAAAAAACAATCTATAATACATGGGTAACTAATCCAGTGCTTGTCAAAAAAGAGCAATGGGGATAGGTGAGTATGCATAGAGTTTACCGACTTCAATGAGGCCTATCCTAAAGGCAGCTTTCCTCTCCGAAAGATAGACCAAATGATCGATGCCGTTGCAGGGCATGAATTGCTCAGCTTCGTGGATGTCTATTCTGGATATAACTAAATTTTGATGTATGAGGTAGACCAATAGCACACACTGTTCATAAAAGATCAAGGTCATATTGTTATAAGATGATGCCATTTGGTTGAAAATGATAGAGCTATGTATCATTAACTTTTCAATACCATGTTCACCCAACAATAGGTAAAATAATGGAAAATTACGTTGATGACATGATAGGAAAGAGCTCCACTGCTAAAAATCACATTAGATACTTGTTAGAAACGTTTGAGATTCTCAGGAGATACAAAACGAAAT